ACGTGCAAGCAAGCATGGGCAAGTGGGATTTCTCAGAGACGGACCATAAGTCTCCTGGCTGTCTGCTGGCTTAGCTCCTTAGCTGGGAACAGCCAGGTTGGCGGTGACATGGGCCATCTGTGGCCACAAGCCACTTTAATTGACCCACAGGAGCCCAATAGCTCATATTAGCTGTCAGAGAGCATGAGTAGGAGACGAGACCAGACTACTCACAGGGTCACTGGGCCTGGAGTCTGGAAGCAGCAAGGGGCCTCAAATAGAAACATCTACGCGCCAAGATCAGAGGCGCTAAGAGAGTTTAGTCCTGCCAGAACGCTAGGGAGCAGCCACAAGGAAGGGAGACATCTGGTCCACAGCTTAGATAGAGCAGGGCCGTGTTCTTGTTGGGGGGTGTCAGGTCCACAGCACAGCCCCACAAGCAGCCCCCTGCACACTGACCATGTTTTCCATGACATCAAACCCCAGTGGATGCAGCAGGGGAACAGTGACAGACAAACTGTGTTCACTGGCATGACAAATCCAACACTACAGTTTCCAGAAGAGGGAGCAGCCCTGGTAATCTGAAGCAGCAGTATGAAGGTATGGCAGTATCTCAGGTCCTGAAACTGCACCGCGTGGTGGTGTCCACTGTGTCAGGTGCCTGCCGGACACCCAGAACCACTCTGGAGGAGCTGGCCTCTTCACGGCGCACACCCTTTCTTCACAGAAAAGTAACTGAGAGCAGATCCGAGACATTTTCTAAGTTGCCCAGATGAGGATAGTTGCCAAGACTGACAAGGATAACCATGTAGAGACAAGTGCGGGGTAGGATCTCCAAACCACCGGACAGCACATCAACATAAATCCACCACTGCATGGGGCTTAGAGGCCTCCAGGGAGGGGGGCCCAGCACACAGGGCTGGGGTTCTGGGAGACACTTAATCTCACTGTTGGGATTCGGGGTCTCCTATGACAAATACTCTGGGAAGGGGGCCAACGAGTTGAGGACCCGGCCTCCAGAAGCATCTCGACAAACTGCTAATTTATTATTATAACTTGTAAATTGTGCTTTAGGTGAAAGCTGACAGAGCAAATTAGTTCCCTAATAGCTGGTTTGCATGTAAAGGGTCCATGGCTGCATCTGAAGGGCCATTTAAGGAGCTGCAGCCACAAGCTGCTGTTCGGGACACACACTCTCAGGGATCTGGCCTTGGGGAGCTCTCCGGGGACTCCAGGCCCAGACCTTGGCAGCCTTCTGTGTGGCTCCGGAGGAACGTCCCAGAAGTTCCTGGCTCTTGGCCTAAGATCGGTCACCAAAACAAACTCAGCCAGGCCTGTATGGACGGATGTCCATCCAGGGAGTCCAGTTACAAGTCCAGGCTCAGGTGGCGACGCAGAGGGGTACTTGGTGTGGCCACTGGGGCAAACTGCTTTGTGTGGCGTGAAATGGATACCATGTGGACCACTGTCCCATTAGTACAAACCATGCAGCAGACCTGTCCTCACGTGAGGTCAGTGGGGGACCAGGGTCCCTGGTATTCAATCCTCAGGCCAAGAGTGATGTCTGACCTGCTTCACAGATAGGGAGAGGTGAAGCTGGATTGGGACCCTGAAACTAGACTCAGCAAGGCTCTGACCACATACATGCTCTGCCTAGTGGGGCAGAGGCCAGCCCTGAAGCAGGTGGCCAAAGATGCAGACCCCTCCCTCACCGAGACGCTCCCAATCCCTCACATCTGAGCACGGTGCCCTATGACCCCCCCAAGCACAGTGCAGGCACTCACCGGGTTGAGACACACCTGGGAGATGGGCAGGTCCCTCATGCTGGGGCAGACCTGCGAAGGAAAGATAGGGCTCGTGAGTGGACAGAATGATGGGCAGTCACAGGTCATAAAATAAACAGACCAGCCCCCTCTGTGCTCGGCACTCCCACTGGTGACATATGGTCACCTGTTCTACAGAGGCAGCCAGTGACGTAGAGGAGAGTGTGTGGAGTTCAGCATCACAGGCCCCTGGTGGCAGACAACCTGACACCCCCTGTCTCCCCACTTCCAGCACTGGGAACCCCAGCTGCCCCTGGTTCTAGCCATAGCAGGCCAACCCATCCACTGAAAACTGGGAACAAAGCAAACAAAACACCCAGATTTAAGAGAAGGAAAATCTTCAGAAGGGAGCCCTAAGGGCTGGGCAGGCAGAAGGGAGCGGAGCCTGGAAGGCTGCTTTAGGAAGGTGTGAGAGGCCTTCCCCTGGGAGCTGTGCCTGGGGGCTGTGTGGGATCCCAGGGGGTAGCTTTATGATCACTGTCAGCTGCGGTTGCTGCATGTGGATGCTTCTTCTAGTGATGCTCACTTAGACCCTCGCATACCCATCATCAGGGCAAACGGGAAGTGGACGCACCCTCTCCAAGTACAACCCAGTTTCCAATTCCGGAATGTTCAGGATCCCAGTGGCCCTAGACTGGCGAGCCCCCAAGTGCCTTGTTAAAGCAAAAGCAACATTCTTCGGAGTAAACTACTTTCATTAGAAGCCTCAAGTTATTTCCAAACATAACTTCTCAAGTCCAGTGGCCAATGATACCCAGTTCAGAGATGATCCGGTACAAGGACTCCAGGGGAGTTGAGATTACAAAACAGGTACGCTACCTGAAGGATAAAGGACAGGCTTGAGATATCAGCGTGGGGTGGGAATCTATGCAAATGTTGGCAAGATTCTCAAAGCCCCAAAGAGAACCTCTAGATAAGTTTAAGCATTCATTTTACAAATGAAGCAGGCCGTTTTTTACCAAGATGGCACCGAAAGCGAAGAAGGAAGCCCCACCCTTCCTTCTCCAAACTGAAGCCAGAGCAAAGGCACTGAAGACCAAGGAAGCAATGAAAGGCGTTCACAGCCACAGGACAAAGAAGACCCACACATCACCCACTGTCCTGTGGCCCAACACACGGGCTCTGACGGAAACCCCAATATCCTCAGAGAAACACCTGCAGGAGAAAACCAGTTTGACTGCTCTGTCATCATGGGATTTTGCCGGCCACTGAAGTCAGCCATGAAGAAGACTGAAGATGACAATGACACACCCATGCCCATTTGGGTGCCAATGTCCCCATGACACTGACACCAAGGCCAAGGTCAGCACCTTCATCAAGCTGATGGGAAAAGGCCCACAGGTGTCACTGGCTGCTGATGGTGCTCTGGTGACCAGAAAGACAGGTCTGCAAAGAAGATTCCCAGAGAAAGTCTGATGCAATGTTGGATCAGTGTCTGAGTGGCGAGGGGAGACTGAGGCAGAGGCACCACATGGAGAGTCTATGAAAGAGTGACAGGGAAGTCCACAGGCTGCCAACTCGAAAGGCTCAGCAAACCCCAAGAAGGGTAAATTAACAGCCAAATTCCCGACCTGCAAAATGACCTCATTTTCAGACATGCAAAGAGTGAGTGAGTATCCACCACCAGCCAACACTAAAGGATCTTCAGTAAAGAGAATTCTAAACAATGTGCCTCAGGCCGCAGGAAACCGATTCTAGGTCAGAGAGCTGAACTGTGAGGTGGAAGGAGGAGCCAAGGAAGCGGTCAATATGTGGATCATTGTTGTTGCTGGTAAGTGCCTACAGAGTTTTCCTGGTGTGAAGCTGTAGGATCAGCACCAGACTTCCAGACTTTGAGCCACAAGGTCGGCAGTTCAAACCCACCAGCTGCTCCTTGGAAACCCTATACATGGTTGCCAGGAGTTGGAACCAACTCGACAGCACTTAACAACAATAACAACGTAGGGTTTTCTACTGTCCTGGAAGAGGGTAGCTATTGATTACTATCTGAAGCTGACAGAGACTTGGGATGCAATGCATCAATCAAGTCTACCGGCACCATTTTCCCAACAGCCTGTGTTCACTTCAGGTCCCGGTGACACTTCTGGTCACAACCTTCAAATGCTTTCACAATGCTACTGCACACGTCAGAAATGACAGACCATACGTGTGACTCGCTTTACTGCAGTGGTCTGGAACTGATCTCATAGTAAATCTGAGATGTGCCTATGAGTGAGCACCGTTCCACCTGCACCCTGGGTGGGGAAGGAAGCAGCCAGTCCCCGCTTTGGTCTCTTGGGAGCGATGGCTTTGCCATCTGGCTACACTGTGCATGTGGGGGAAGGGTGCCTCAGCACCTGCGTGCACCCCTCCAGGGGCATTGCCCTTCCTGTGACCATGACTGTCTGTGCAGAAAAGATGTAAACAGGCCAGGGAGCCAGGTCATCAGTATGTTTCTAAAATACAGCAAAGCCATCTGATCTCCCTGTGGCAACAGTTTCTTAGTTAAAATCTGACAGGGGGCATCTGCACAGAAACAATTACGGGTCCCAGTGCAATTCTGCTTTTTGAGTCTCTAACTCTGCGGCTGGAGGGAGGAAGTCGCCACATACTGCGTGCAAGGGCCACTTCCTGGTTTCTGTGCATGTTTAGAGCCCTGAGGAGCCCTTAGTGCAGAACGGGGCTCAAAGCCAGAGGACGGATCCAAGCTCAGCTCGAGACCTGGGTCCTGGGCCACCGGCTCCTCAATAGGAGGGGTACCCTGAAACAGTAGGATGCTGGAGGTGGGGATCCCACTCTCGGGGACGGGGTACTGAGGAGCTCACGTGGAAGGTATATGCTGAGCCCACACTCCGGTGGCTAGAAGAAGGGTGAGGTTTCTTTAGGGGTGAGGTGAGGGTGAAGGGGGTGCTAGAAATGGTGGGGAGACCCCTACACTGTGTAGGCCCACTCCCACCCTCCTGGTACCAGGGACCCCTGTTCATTCAGCTCTCACCCTGAGTTTGTTTGAGAACAAACCACACTGGGCGCTCATAATTTCAGACTCTGGAGTCCCCACTCTCTGTTCCGGGGCCCTGACTACTGCTTCGTTCATCACATCTGGTTCAGTGGATGAGTACCCTGAGAAGCAGGCCCAGTTCTCACAAACACTCCTCCTTGAGGCTGCCCCAGTTCTGACCCCAAGCTTTGTTTCCTTGCAGGTCAGCCACACGGGTCCCGATGTTTGCACACAACATGTCGTGGGTACAGTACCCCAGCCTTGTGTCCCCAGACGTTGAAGATGTCATCGCTGCACAGAGCATCACTTCCAGGCTCACACAGGTGTACCTGGCTCTGCTCGCCCCTCTGGGCTTGGCAAGCGGGGTATTTAACTTAGCCACACTCCTGAGAGGCTGGGCTCGGCTAGGGAGCCTGGGGGCCTTCCTTGTGGACCTTACCGTGACTAATATGCTAGTGGTCTTGTTGTCCCTGACAGCTGTCCCCAGGCCAGACTACCTAGTCACCACCAACCTGGGCTGTGGGGTCCTCGCCTTTGGTGCCAACGTCTGCTACTTCAATGCCCAGTACCTTCAAGTGGTCATGCTCTTTGCATTCCTGCTGCCCAGTTCCCCATCCTGTCTGCCTGTGGTGACCAAGTGGGTCCTGAGGCCAGCCCTGGTCCTGGGGGCCATCTTGGGATGCACCCTCTGCAGCTCCCTGGGGGTGGTGGCCCTGCTGGGTACCTCCGGAGAGCTGTATACAACCACTCGGTGCCAGCTGGACCCACTGACCGCCTGGCCCGAGTACGAGGTGGTCAAGTTCAGCCTGGGCTTCGGGCTGACCCTCCTGCTGCAATTGGTTTTTGGCATCCTGCTCTTAGTCACTCAGGCCTGGCAGGGCACTGCTGCCCAGAGGGACACGGCCTTGGCCATGCCTGTCGTGCTGGCCATGGCGCTGACCATGTCTGCCTGCCGGCTCTTCTACAACGTCCTATTGCTTCACAGGGCCAGTCTGAAGCTGCAGGGGTCCCTCGGTTCACCGCGGGATGAGCTCCTCATGAACATTGCCGAGCTGCTCCTGTTTGGGGAGAGCTGCGTGACGTCTTTGGAGACACTGCTTCTCTACCAGCCCTGTAGAAAGGCCCTGAGGAGGGCTCAGCAGAGACTTACCTGTAGGGGCTGCCAGAAGTCGGCCACTGGCAGCATCTCCTCACCAGGAGCAGGGAGCCAGCTGACAGGCAGGCACGAGCCTCCCAGGGTTTAAGGAGCACTCCACATGTGACTCACATCCACTGAGTCAGGTGCCCACTTCATCTACACAAAACTATGGGGGTACTGATGTCCAGGTCATAGTTACACCTGAAGGAGTCGAGCTGACCAGACACACACCTGATCGTGATACATTTCAAAAAAAAAAAAAAACAACCACCACCACCCACCCACTTCTGTAGAGTTGATTTCGACTCACAGTGACCCTACAGGACAGAATACCCATGGGGTCTCCAGGGCTGCCACCTTTATAGACGCTGCGGAGCAGCTAGTGGGTTCTGCTGACTTTTCCATGAGCCACTGAGTGCTTACCCATGCATCACCAGGACTCCTTAAAAACAAACAAACAGCAGTGCTGAAATAAAAGGCTGCCATCACCAACAGCACTCCTTGTCCAAGAATCCCCATTTGTAAGAGCTAGAGGAAGAAAGGAAATGGAGACGACAGCTGCAGGCAGAGTCCACGGTGGACACCAGGAAGCAGCGACAAGTTCAGTGGACAAGTTGGGCAGACCGTCAAGCTGGACATGGCCCGTCCACAGGGTACCCTCGGATGGGCAGCCCTGCGGCTGAGTGGTGCTCACGGCCGTTACCAAGGGCAGGAAGGACAACGATGAGAAGCCTTTCATACAGAGAGGAATTCGCGGGGACGCAGCCAATGAAATGGTATCAGAACAGAGAAGGCACTCGAATGGACACTGGTGAGAGCAGGGCGGGGGGAGCTGCCCTTTGGTGCCCGTACGCACCCATGTGAATGTCCTGGTTTTCACAGTTCTCCAATGGGTTTATAAAGGATGGACATTGGGGGACGTTGGACAAAAGGGACACCAGAACTACTTTCTGTAAGTTTAGACTCAAACATTAAAAAGTGATTGAAGTACAAGGCTTTTCACTGCAGCAGTTTGTAACAGCAAGAAATGCAACAAACGAACACACTCAGAGCTGAGGGAAATGAACTCACCACAGATGATAAACCTAACAGGCAAACCATCTGTAGTGGAGTCTACTCCGATGCATGGAGGCTCCAAGTAGTCCATGCACAGCAGGAGGCAGGGTGGTTCTGGGTAGAACTCTCACCTTCTGCAGTGGAGGACTAGGGCAGAACTCCAGGGGCACCAGGCTCTGCACCTCAGCTCCAGACCCCGAGCTGCGGCCACCAGGACACATTGATCACACTCAGAATTCCAGGAAAGATGAGGACCAGTGAGCATGGCGGCCAAGAAGCCCCCACCATGGTGCACAAATGTGAACTTAATGCAGGAGGGCAGATGTCAGGACAAAGGGCTGGGGAGGCTTAAACACTTCAAATTTTCCTTGTCATAATGGAAAACACTAGAGAGTAAAACTTCTGGCCATTGATTTTTCTCTAGAAAGCACCTCAATCTTCCAGTATTTGTTCTCAGCATTCCACAGTCTGTATGTACACCAGACACACACATTTACATTCATACACCTGATGGCAAACACACTCACACACATATACCTGAACATACATATACACATGCATATACAAACATACACCAGAACACACACACATGTGCACTCACCAACGTACCGACACACACGTGACTTATGCAGACACACACATACACCTGAACACAACACATACACACATGTACTCACCAACATGCACACACAATTTACAGGTAACTGGAATTCCAGAACAGGAAGAAACACTAAAAAGCACAGAGAAAATGGCGGGAGAGTTATTGGACATTCCTAACATACTGTAAGCATAAAAGAAACTGAATGAACCCCAAATAGGATAGATCCAGAGAAAATTATCAACACTTATCACAATCAAACTTTCCAAAACCAAAAACAAGGAAAGAAGCCTGGGAGCAGCTCGGGAAAAACAAAAAGTTACCTACAAATGAGAACCAATAAGACAAAGCTCTGATTTCTAGCAGAAACCATGAAGGCAAGAAGGCAATGGCATGACATATACAAAATTCTGAAAGGGAAAAATTTCCAGTCATATACCTAAGCAAAGCTGTCCCTTAAAAACAACGGCAAAATTAGGGCATTTCCTGAAAAACAGAATGAAAGAACAACTTTACAAAAAATGCTAATGGCTGTTTTTTGGACTGGGAATCAACAGGCGCTGACAACAACTCGTGATTACCATAAATAGCAACACCACCTAAAACTCAATCCAGATATATCAGTATTTAAAGTAAAACAAACCTACAAGATGCAAAATGAGGAGAAACAGCTGTTAAGCATCCATTAATAATTGGAACATGGAATGCATAAAGTATAAATCTAAAAAAACTGGAAGTTGTCAAAAGTGAAATGGAACACACAAACATCGACATCCTAAGCATGAGTGAGCTGAAATGGACTGACATTTTAAATCTGACAATCACATGGTTTACTATGCCAGGAATGGCAACTTGAAGAGGAATGATGTTGTATTCATCAAAAGGACATTTCAAAATCTATCTTTAAGTAAAATCCTGTCTATGATATGAGTTGGAACCAACTCGACAGTACTTAACAACAAGGAAGGCCAGTTAATACAATTATTATTAAAATTTATGCACCACACACCAAAGCCAGAAATGATAAAACTGAAGAATTCTACCAATTTCCTTAGCCTGAAATTGATCAAATATACAATCAAGCTGTATTGATAATTACTGGCAACTGGAATGCAAAGGCTGGGAACAAAGAGGAAAATACGGCCTTGGTGATAGAAACGATGCTGGTGATCGCATGATAGAGGTTTGCAAGACCAGTGACTTTCTTCATTGCAAATATAGTTGTTTATTTATTTATTTATTTTTATTTTTTTAAATTAAATGTTTTTATTTTGCATTGAGTGAAAGTTTACAGGGCACATCATCAGCTTCACATTCAACCATTCATATAGCTTGTTTCGTTACATTGATTATTATCCCCACCATATATCATCAGTTTACAGTGTTTCTCTCTATCCTCTTTAGCTTTTTTTTTTTTTTTTTTGGATGGGGGGGGAGCAAATATAGTTTTTAAACAACATAAAAGATGACTATACATACACATGGACCTCACAAGATGGAAAACACAGAAATCAAATTTACTACATCTGTGGAAAGAGAGCATGGAAAATCTCCATATCATCAGCCAAAACAAGACCAGGGACAGACTGTGGAAAAGACCATCAATTGATCATATGCAAGTTCAGGCTGAAGGAAATTTAAACAAGTCCACAAGAGCCAAAATATGACCTTGGATATATCCCATCTGAATTTAGAGATCATCTCAAGAACAGATTTGATGCATTAGACACTAATGACCAAAGACTTGAAGTGTTGTAGGAAGACATAAAGTACATCATACAGGAAGAAAGCAAAAGATCGTTCATTAAGAAAACAAGAAAGAAGGAAAAGACCAAAATGCTTGTCAGAATAAACTCTGAAACTTGCTCTCCAGCATAGAGATACTAAAGCAAATGGAAGAAATGAGGAGGTAGAAAAGTTGAACAGAAAATTTCAAAGGGCAGCTTGAGAAGATAAAGTCAAATATTATAATGAAGTATGCAAAGATGTGGAGTGAGAAGACCAAAAGAGAAGAACATACTCAGCATTTCTGAAGCTGAAAGAACTGAGGAAAAAATTCAAGATTTGACCTGCAATATTGAAGGATTCTATTGGATTCCTGGTGTGGCACTGTAGTATAAGTGCTCAACTGCAAGGCTGGTTTGAACTGGAGGCACTCACTCATCTAATGCCAAGAAATCTGAAAGATATCTAACCGGCCAACTGACTGGAAGAGACCCATATTTGTGCCCATTCCAAAGAGAGGTGACCCAAAGGAATGTGGAAATCATTAGACATTATCATTAATATCACATACGAGTAAAATTTTGCTAAAGATAGTTCAAAAATGGCTGCAATAGTACATTGACAGGGAACTGCCAGAGGTTTAGACTAGATCCAGACGTGGACGTGGAACAAAGGATATCATAGCTTATGTCCGATGGATCTTGGCTGAAAGCAGAGAATATCAGAAAAATGTTTACCTCTGCTTTACTGACTACACAAAGGCTTTCGATTGTGTGGATCACGACAAGCTTTGCAGGGAATGAGTATTCCGGAACACTTAATTGTGTTCATGAGGAACTTGTACACAGACCAAGAAGCAGTCATTCAGATAGAAGGGGACACTAAACTGAGAAGCTGGATTATATGATGAACCTGGTATCAGGACTGGAGGAAGACTCATTAACAACCCGTAATATGCAGATGATACAACCTCGCTTGATGAAAGTGAAGAGGACTTAAAATACTTACTGGTAAAGATCAAAGATTTTGGGTTGCACTTCAATACAAAGAAGACAAAAATCATCTCCACTGGACCAATAAGTAACACATCACGATAAACAGAGAAAAGACTGAAATTGTCAAAGATTTCAACCATCAACACTCATGGAAGCAGAAGTAAAGAAATCAAATGACGTATTGCATTAGGCAAATCTGCTACACAAGACCTCTTTATAGTATTCAAGATGTCAGTTTGAGGACTAAGGTGCGCCTGACCCAAGCCATGGTATTTTCAATAGCCTCATGTACATTTGAAAGTCGGACAATGAATAAGGAAGATCGTAGACAAACTGATGCATTTGAGTTATGGTGCTGGAGGAGAATATTAAAAGTATCATGGGCTGCCAAAAGAACAAACAGATTTGTGTTGGAAGAAGTACAGCCACAGTGCTCCTTAGAAGACAGGGCGGAGAGACTTCGTCACTCACATTTGGAACATAAAAATAGGAGGGACCAGTCCTGGAGAAGGCTATCATGTTTGGTAGTGAAGGATAGGTGAAAAAAGAAAGACCCCAAGCTAGATGGATTGGCAGTGATAGCAATGATTTTAAGATGGTGCAGGACAGGGCAGTGTTTCGTTCTGTTGTGCAGAAGATTGCTATGAGTCAGTACTGACTCAACGGCCCCTAACAACAACAAGGCTGAAAATAGGAACCAGAGATGTCAATTTTTAACATCAACTACAAAGCCAAAAGAGGGAATAGCACAGATACAGAACTTCCAAATGACAAGTAAGTCAAGTAGATTTCAATATAAAACAGACTTGTTTTAAACAGGAAAAAAATGAGAATAATTTACAAGGTAACCTCAAAGAAAAATCAATACGCCTACACACCAAAATAAAAACGGAGGAAAACTCAAAGATTTAGGTAAATATTAACACAACAGAAATGAAAATGAAAATAAAATGCACTAGCAAAATGAACTCAGCACACAAAGCATGCAATACGGAAACCAACAGCATCACAAAAGGCACAAAGCAAAATGACATCAATTAACTCATCAATTAACGGATCACACTGAATAACAATCCATCAAAAGCACCAGTCAAGAGACAAAGCAGACTGGGTAAGAAAACAGAATCTTTCAAAGTGCTGTCTACAAGAGACACAGTAAAAAAGATGGAGACAGCCTAAATGCCCATCAACAGAAGAATGGTTAAGCAAACTTTGGCACATACATACAATGGAATTCCAAGCAAAGTTGAAGAAGTACAATAAACCTGTGAAACACCTCACAACACAGATAAACCTGGAAGATATTATTCTGAGAAATCAGTCAATCACAAAAGGACAAATATTGCACGAGACCCCTGTTATAAAAAGTTAAGAGAAGGTTTTCTTGATGAAAGCAACAATCTAAGATGGTTATGGGGGGCAGGGAGGCTAGAGGGCAGACACATGCTAACCTAGGTGACAGGGCAGGCAACATATAACAAGAAGGAGGCTGGCAGAAGAAAGATGGAGGTAGTGGGAGATGTAGGGAAGAAGGTAAGAGTTAATGAGGCAAACAGTGTTAACTGAAGGTACAATGTGGAAGGGATTGCAATCATCGTAATGAAGTAGAGGATTTGTTTAATGTAAAACTGATGATCTGTTCTGTAAACTTTCACTCAATTCACAATAAAAGGTTAAAAAAAAAAACAACTCAGAGCAAATTAAAAAGCGATCGTATCGGAGTCAAAGAATTTGTAAAGCTGAAAGGGACTCTAAATGGGAGTGTTTTTCCATAAAAAAATGCACACCGTAGTCTCTGTTGAAAAAAAATGTGCTTTTCCAAAACATGCACTGAAAGGTCTAAAGTATCATCAACACAGCACACTCTGAAACTCTGCACCAAGGGGCTGTCTGGAGCGAGTGCTCCCCCCACCCCCACCAGCTTGAGGTGTACCATGTCTGTCCTATGTCTTGGGAATGGGACAACCTTCCTGCTCCCAAAGCTGAAGAGGGCAGAAAGTAACTTGAGTGCCCATGGTTTGGCCCAAGTCCACCCCTGGCAGGGACTCCGCCTTTGTCCCTTGCCTACCTGGTGTGGCACTGTGGGTTAATGCACCAGACTTCAAAGCCATTTGAACTGCTAGGTCGGTGGTTCAAGCTCATCAGCTGCTCCACAGAAACCCAATCCAGGGTCGCTATGGGCCGGAACCGACTCCATGGCACTTAACAACAACAATTGTAGACGGTAACATGAACCACCAGTAGGTGGGGTGAATGAGGCTGCTGGGGACTCAGGTCATCCCTAGACCTGTATCCAGCAGGCGTTCAAAGCAGAGACGATACTTTGATTACCAATGTTCGACCAAACTGCTGGTGACTTCTCAGGTCTTGGTGAAATCCCCAGATTAAATTCCCTATGTGTTACTCACATAGAAATTTATGACACACAGTGGCCAGTTCTAAAACCAGTCAGTTGCAGAAACAAAAGCAAAGCTGTGAGTTTCAACAAACAGATTAAAATCTAAAAGACACACAGTATCTAGTACAATCCCTTTACACTTGAAGTTTGGTGGTACCAATAGGTGAAGAAAAGCTGTGAGGCTGGAAACTTCCACAAAAGCATGTTCAGGGGGGCTGAGTAATTGCCAAAGTGTGGGAGGAAAGAGCCAGCAGAAAAATGGTTAATGCTGGCCAGGGAAAGGAGCCTCGGGAGGGGCCTGGGAGCCTATAAAACCCAGAGGAAGGAGGGTAGGAAGGAGGGAGGGAGGGAGGGAGACAGGCTAGCAGGACGCATAGAGGGTGGTCTATCACACCCTGATGCCTGCGACAGATGCTCCAGGACCACCCGACCGGTTGAGCTCACCCACCAGTCCAGACCCCCATTGCTAGGAAGCCACACACGCACCTAGCCCGAAGCCAGGACCATGAGCACAGCCTGCAAAGAGGACAGAGCAGGTAAGATGCAGCCTCTCAACAGGGCCATGTCTGTGGGCACAGGGGAGGTGGGCGCAAGCAGGCAGAGAGGGTGCTACCTCTTTGTTGCCATGAGTGGACACGGTCAAGAAGACCAACAGGCTGACAGCTCCTCACGAGGAAGCGTCCTTATGTGGGCGAGTCTTGCAGGGTGAACTGAGGTGCTATCGGCCGGTCACCTGTCACATGCTGTTCAAGCCAGGGTGGCTGGGCTCTATGATGTCCCACCAAGGACTTCAGACATCCTTCATGGTACAGCAGGTCCTAGGAGACCTGGACCCTTTGTAAGCAATGTGTCTCAGACTGGGATCCTATATCCTTATCAGAACATGGCAAAATGAAGTGTTTGTCCTGGGCCCAATGATTCCACTCATTTGGGGAAGAAATAAGGGACCAACCTGTGCATAGCCCCCCGGAGCCTATATCACAAGCATAGGCAAGGGAACAAATAAACGCCGAGGGCTTTTACTCACCTCTTACACGTTCATCTAAAACTGCAGTCTAACCTTTCCCAAAATGTTGACATTTAAAGAGTAAGACAGATACTCTTGAGTACTTTTTGAACAGAAGTTAAATGTATGTAGATCTATATACAGAGCTGTATCACATGCTACACAGAGACCTAGGGTACGCTTCAAGTCGGCACTGTCTGCCACCGCTACGCTAACTGGATATCTTTAAACAATGACCGACACCAATGCAGGTATTTTTCTGTCTTTCACCACAAGTAGCTTCTGTATTTAAAAAAAACAAAAACAAAAACCCTGTCTAGTCTGGCAACACTTGCACAGGCTTCCTCGTGGTCCAAAGGATAAGATGAAACCCTGCAGAGGAAATGATCTGGATTCAACATTAACATGACACATTCATGTAACTCCGGCTTCCTCACCCTCCTGACTCTGGGCTGCTCAGTGGGGGATTCTGTGGGGTGTGTGGTAAGCAGTCTTCATGGTATGGTCATCAAAAATGTCTCCAAACATTGGCAGAGTCCCCTGAGACAGAACTCAGGGGAGCAAAATCCAATGACAAGAAACTCCAGATCGAGCAGAGCCCCACACCTGTCCACTGTGGACACATTTGCCCACTTCTATAACCCCTCCACAGCAAAAAAAGATCCAGAAGATTCCTTCATCCCAACTTTCTCTACCCAGCTTCTGGGTTCCGAAGAACATTCCAGAAACATAGCAGGTTTCACAACCATTTGTGAAAACCCTGGATAAAATGTTAAATATGGTTTTCTAATTACTACTTTGATTCCTTCTTGTTCTTTTTCATTCTACGTTATGAAAGACAGACAGCCTTGTTTCCGGCCCCAGACTCAACGCTGGATCAGCTGAAGTGTTAGCTCTCTCAGTGCAGGGACTCTGACCCAGATCCCCAGAGTTCTCAGAACCCACCGCTTTCCAGAAGCTGGGTTTTTCCTTCCCATTTTCCTTCTCTTTCCCACGGCTGAGGGATACATTGTATTTCCTCTCTGGACAAACAGTAATTTTCCTAGGTTTTCACACTTCATGCCCATGTTGCTTCGTAAATCTACTATGTGGCTTTTAAAAAGCATCCCACAAAGGGGGTTGGCGGCTCCCTGACCAGCTCCAACGTAGCCTGAAATGGGAGGGGGGCCCTACGGGGGGAGAGACGGGTCTTTTCTACATATGGTTCTTCTGCTACAGTTTAGTGACCAGTCTAAGTGACAACCAAAGCTCTGGTCCCTTCTATCCACATGTCCCTCCCTGAACCCACGGTGGTATGTGTGGTGGTCCTAACATCCTTCTTCTTGCTCCCCCAGGCCTCCAGACGGTAGGGCAGCCCTGAGGGGCAGCTCTGGACAGAGTGGCTAGCAGGCACCAGGAACGGGCCACCACAGAAGTCGTCACAGTCAGTTGTCCTGCACTCGGACATCAACAATTCCAGCCAGTCTGTCAACTTTCTGGGACACATGGATCCAAACAGTCAGCTCTGATTTCACAAATGTCTGACCTGCTTCCAAAACAACCACCTTTCTTTCAAGAGATGGGTTTGTTGCTCAGCACGGATCTCTGTGAGTCCTCCAGCCAGTCCTGAGAGGCTCTCAGGGCGGGGGCACAGACATGGAGGGCTACCTGGGCACAGTGCAGCCCGCCGCCCCCAACAGCACCCTCGCAGGTCTGAGCGCGGTGAACCTACTGGATGCAGCGGCCCTGGCGAACCACACACGAGCCCTGCAGGAGCACCAGCAGTATGTCGTGGGACTCTTCCTCTCCTGCCTCTACACCATCTTCCTCTTCCCCATCGGCTTTGTGGGCAACATCCTGATCCTGGTGGTGAACATCAGCTTCCGTGAGAAGATGACCATCCCCGACCTGTACTTCATCAACCTGGCCGCAGCAGACCTCATCCTGGTGGCCGACTCGCTCATCGAGGTGTTCAACCTGGACGAGCAGTACTACGACATCACGGTGCTCTGCACCTTCATGTCACTCTTCCTGCAGATCAACATGTACAGTAGCATCTTCTTCCTCACCTGGATGAGCTTCGACCGCTACGTCGCCCTGGCCCGGGCCATGCGCGCCAGCCTCTTCCGCACCAAGCAGCATGCCCGCCTCAGCTGCGGCCTCATCTGGCTGGCCTCGGCCTCGGCCACACTGGTGCCCTTCACGGCTGTGCACTTGCAGCACACCAAAGATGCCTGCTTCTGCTTCGCCGATGTGCGGGAGGTGCAGTGGCTGGAGGTCATTCTGGGCTTCATCCTGCCCCTGGCTGTCATTGGACTGTGCTACTCACTCATCGCCCGGGTGCTGGTGGGCGCGCACCGGCACCGAGGCCTGCGGCCCCGGCGGCAGAAGGCACTGCGCATGATCTTTGCTGTGGTCCTCGTATTCTTCATCTGCTGGCTGCCTGAAAACGTCTTCATCAGCGTGCACCTGCTGCAACGCCCCCAGCCGGGGGTGTCCTACTGCAAGCAGTCTTTCCGTCACGCCTACCCCCTGACAGGCCACATCGTCAACCTTGCAGCCTTCTCCAACAGTTGCCTGAACCCTCTCATTTACAGTTTTCTTGGGGAGACCTTCAGGGACAAGCTGCGGCTGTACATCGAGCAGAAGACAAACATGTTGGCACTAAACCGCTTCTGCCATGCCGCCCTGAAGTCAGTGATCCCAGACAGCACGGAGCCTTCAGACGTGAAGTTCAGCAGTGCAGTGTGAGGGGGCCAGCGAGTCCCCAACTAGTACCTGTGCACGTGGCGGGAGGGCAGGCAGAGGTGGGGACAGGATGTGTCCTACTGCTGTCTTGGGTCACACATCTGGGGATGTAGAGTACACCCAAACTTGGGCCACCTGATGAGGGTCACTGGGAATAGGCCCTCTGCCCCGCCCTGTGCACTGCAGGCCTGAAGGGAGGTTAGGACCTCTGGGTGACACTCACCCCCCTGAAGTTGGCCCCGTGGGGGAGAGCAGTCTGAGACAGAGGAGCTGAGATCATGCAGCCAACGGATGACCTGGTGTCTGGTTTGCGTCTGTGCTCTTCTATGTGCGTGCCAACAAGGTACTGGACCATTAAACAGGAGAGGACAACCCTGGCTGTGCACACGCTGTCCGCTCATTTTCTCTTATGGTTGAGGTTCTGGCCACACTGCCCACGTGAGAGTCAGGCCATGCTAGTGACAAGGTCTACTTGCTATGTGGCCAAGTCAGAGTGGGGTAGGACTGAGAGCTGCGTGGACAGCTCCAGTGACTCTGGTTTCACAGGATCCCTGCTTCCCCTACGGACAGAAGCAGGCAATGGTGGTCACACTGCAAAAACTGCTCTTCACAGTGTAAAACCCACAGATGGTGAGGCTGCTGAGCTGCTGTCAAGACAAAGCGGAGCCGGGCCCTCCCCACCTTCCTAGTCATTCCCAAGCAGAGGGGACCCCTCCTGGCCCTCTGAGTCATCCCTTCAACAGAGAGGACCCAGAAGAGAGGGGAGCCAGCCCCCTCCCTGCCCACTGAGTTGTCCTTTGAACAGAAAGGCCCCATCCCTGGGAGACTGGTGTCTTTGAGACCCCACTGTTGTGTCCTCTGTCTCTACCATGGACAAGAGGTCAGGCCCCCAAGAAAGCATGAGCTGAGGGCATAGGCAGTCCCCTCAGAGGACCCCGGGTGGACAGGATCTCCCGGTAGAACATGAGGAAGTCTCTTAGTGACAGGAAATGAGTCCCATTTTAGTTTTGATCATTTCTATTGAGAGTGAGGATGCTGGGCTTAATCTTGTTTAATTTATGAACAGGAGGAGGTTTTATTTTAAATAAATGTAAAGGGAAAAGGTGAACTAATTCAGGGAAATTACCTGGGGAGGAAGCAGGTGGTCATGGGCACTGCACGACTTTGCAGATGAGCTCAGGGGTGATGTGGAGCCACCCAGCCACCCTGGCTCGGGCTCAGCTGGGACCCACCAGCAGGAAGCTGCCCAGTCCCCCACATGATGCCTCTTCCGACCTCTGGGGCACCTCCTGCCAACATAGCTGTGCTTCAGGGAAGGGGAACCAGGTTAGGCGGCCCATCCACTCTGACCCAGCCAGTACAAGTGCTGACCGCCCAGCATAGTGTCCTCCTGGGAAAGGCCTGCCTTCAGATAACCCCCAGCTCCTCATCCAAGGGCAGGCCTGCGACAGGGAGGGTACAGGTGGTCCCAGGTGTCCCTGGGGGAGGTCACACACAGTAGTGCTCCAGGAAGGACCTCTCTGTCCCTCCAGCTCGTCCCTGGTCACCATGTCCAGCACACCCCTGCTCTCTACCAGGAGCAGAGCAGTGACACTGAGACAAGATGTGAGAGGAGTGAGTGTCCTCCACTCTAACAGCGGCAGAGGGATGTCTACTCTGAATCATAGCTTACTAGGTAGGACCAGAGCATCCTTAAGGTGTCCACCAATACTTTCAACATTCCTGTCTCAGACAGCCGCTTCCCAGACACGCAAAGTCTGGACACCCAGTGTACTTGATGGCCAGGCCTTCCAGGAGTGGGGAGGAGATGGTACAAGACCACAAGGTTTGAGGGGAGGGTGGGGTGGGGGGTGGGGCGTTGCAACCGACACAGAGCAGCAGGGGACTATCTTCATGTCTCCACAGACCCCGCAACCCATTGCAAGCTGCTGGGTGGGAGACCAGAACCCCAAGCGCTGGGAACCCCTGTGCTATCCCCCACAAAGCATTCGTCTGAGAGCTGGGCTAATTTCATTCGAACAGGAACACCACAGATAAAATCAAGGCCTTTTAATTGCTTTGTTGTTTCCTGGTAACCTAGCTCTCCCCGGAACACTAATGCTTTCTAAACCCCACAACTCGAGGAGAGCCTAGCTAGAGGTGCAGGGGGGCAATGTGTTAGCTCAGAGCAGGACATCATAGTTTTCTCAGTGCTAATAATTAACTCTTGATTATACAGGGGCAGCATGGCCCACCTCCCAAACTGTTAAGTTACACCGGGGTCCTCATGGAGGAGGGGAGGCAGCAGGTAACCCCTGTGGGAAAGGGAGGGAATAGGAGCTATTATTGGCTTAAACCCAGGATTTCCAGAGTAAGAATATGTCCAGGGATATAAACATGTACATACAGTGTGTGTGCAAATACAAACACACATGCATACGATCCCTAGTTCTATGTGTGTGTCAATATACTTTCATTCTCCCTGGCTCTCCACATATGTAAACACACACACATGCAGATGCTCCCTAACCCTTTCTGCCCAAAGGGCCCAGAAGAAAGGCGTCAACCCAGATCCTGCTTGTGGCAGCAGCCCCCTGTGAGCAGTGGCAGGTGCTGGAGAGAGGGAGGTCAGGGTGAGGCAGAAAGGAGTGAGAAGAACCAAGAGGCAAGAAAAGCAGCTGGAAGGAGGATACGATAAAAAAGAAAAGTAGAACTACAATTTATTGTGAATAAAAAACAAAAAGAATCCTGTCAATTCAGTAACCAGGCAAAACACAGTATGATGATAAGCACAGGAATGACTGAAGAAATGAGCAGAGGGAGAGCCTTGCTGACCGCTGACCAGTGAAGGTGGGGGACATGCTGGGTTGGAAAACCACTACGCTGCAGCTCTCACAGTGAAGCCAGGCAGGTGAGGTCATGTGAGGCTGCCCTAGCTGAGAGTGCTGAGATGATGCTCAGGGTATACCTCTGGTGGCACAGAGGTTCAGAACTCAGCTGCTAGTTGGTCAGTGGTTCGAACTCAACCAGCAATTCCAAGGTAAAAAGACTTGGGCATTTGTTCCTGTAAAGATGACAGCTGGAAAACCCTGTGGGGCAATTCTACTCTGTCACATGGGAGTGCTGTGAGTTGATGATACTAATGAATATACGCAAGTACATAGTGACACAACAGATGACAATCTAGGAAGCCCTATGGAGCAGTTCTCCTCTGTCACACAGTGGTGCTGTGAGTTGATGATTATTGTTGTTAAGCGCCGTCAAGTCAGTTCCAACTCATAGCGACACTGTATAGGGTTTCTGAGGAGTGGCTGATGAGCTTGAACCGCCAACTTCAAACCAACCTTGCAGTTCAGCGCATTAACCTACAAATATATATGAGTATATAGTGACACAATCGATGACAGCGTAGGAAGTCCTATGGGGCAGTTGTACTCTGTCATATGGGGGGAGCACTGTGAGTCGATGATATATGATCAATTCACCACACCATTCTCTGGATCATGACTAAGTGATGAAGAGTAGTTGTTAATATCACAGGTGTGATGATCACAGGTATGGACGACACAGGTGTGAACATCATAGGTCTGTCGCAGTTACATCACTGAGGGTTGAGGACACCTGTGAGGCCCAAGCAGCCTCTCCCACCACTCACCCCCCATACCATAACCACCAACCTGGCATTGTAGTATGAATTGAGCACAGAGCCACAGTGCAGGAGAAAGGCAGAGGGGTCATTTTATGACCACTACACAGACTCTACTCCCTAAGCCACCTGTGTTCCGTGTATGGTGGGCTGGTCTGCCCCCACCTGGGACATGGCATTCACAGGTGAGTAGCACCCACACTGGGTGGATGTTTGCACAGAGGAGGCGTCAGGTAGCCAGCCACAGCTTTCTGCACCAGTTGTTACCTGCCCTTGGGAGGAACCAATCAGCTGGGAGTAAACCAATCAGCACCTGCATGTCCAGGTGTTTGGGAGGAGGGAGGAGCCAGCTGTGAATGCCCCTTCTCCCCAGGAGTGAGATATTTCCTGATGCATGCTGGCGAAGGCACAGTCCTGAGGACCACCCTCTCCCACAGGCTGTGGTCCAGACAGAGAGACCCCAGGGATGTGGGGATGCAGACAGCTGTCAGTGGGGTGAACTGGCCGGTCCCATGAGTGCTGCCCCATGTCAAGTCGCCAGCCAGGCACAGAGGTGGAACACCTAGAAAGGCACCGATACCCCAGCAGCCAGTGTGTGCGTCCCGTGCCATGCCACCTGACTCCTATGGTCAGAGGCCAGGCGCTGCGTTTATCTGATTTCTGCCATTGTCCAGTGGGTGGGGGATCCAGCCTGGGAACAAGGGCTTTAGAAGCCAAAGGAACACAGAACAAAAGCATGCAGTCCTGACTGCATTTCTCAGCCGAACATGGGGAGCAATCAGCCGAGACTTATCTCAGAACATCAGCTGCTGGGCTCCCTCCTTCCGTCCCCTGCAGCACCCACAGTCCTGGCCTCCAGACTGGCCTTTCATTGTGGCCCGTTCCCATGACACCCAGCTCCTGTCCCCGCATCCACACAGCCTCCACTTTCACTCTGATGGAAACACATCCAGGCTAGTGCCCAGTTCAGAAGCCCTAGTGCTGCCTCCCTTGGCCCCATGAGAAAGGTGGACAGGCCCTGTCCAGGGTGTTCATCTTCTCTGCTGACCCAGGAATGAAGGAGGCAAGAGCAGATGTCCTTCATAAACCACCAGCTGCATGCTCACACTTTGGCCCTCTCTAGCCCCACACTGTGAGCGAGCTCCAGGAAGGGTTCTGGTGCACAGCTCGGGACGAACGGGTAGTCGAGCCTTCAGAAGAGATGGCAGCCCTGGCCAACACTGGGAGAGGTCCTGAGTCAGAGCACCCTGTCAGCCGCATCTGGGTCCCTGAGCCTGGGAAACTGTGCTGTGTGGAGAAACAGAAGTGTGGCAACAGGAAAGCAAGAGCTGATTGTGCAGAAGCCAGCACAGGCTTACTTGTGTACCAACACGTGATT